CACTTAAAATTAGTTGGCGGGGAGTAAAAACCAAGTATGCAATTAAGCCTATTCCTAATTATTTAGTTTACTTAAAAAACAATATTGATTAACAAATTCTTCTTTGAAGTAACTCTAAGCAGATCATGTATTGCTAAGTTTGTGAGAAAGTAAGTCTCTCCCATTTCCAATACATGAACTTGTGATTCAAACATATAATTGATCCACATGCTTTAACTACTCTTTATTTGCACTGTTTACATCTGAAGATACTTTCAAATTAGTTGTTAACCGGAAGAAAAAAGCTGCGAGTTCCAAACAGAAATTCCGTAGAGGAACTGGGCGTGATATGACCTTAAAGAGCAGGCCCCCGCCTCCCTTTAAGTTATACGTTGGAAACCTAGTTACAAACGATGTTACTGTTACAAAACTGCAAACAAAAAGAGAAGATTCTGCTTCGTTTGTCATATACTGTGACAGAATTAAAGGACACTATTTGTGACATCAGTGCCTGGCCAGAGAATGCGATAATTAGACGTTTCTATGATTTCAAAGCAGTAAAAACAACTGAATCGACGTATGGTTCTCAAGTAGGTAATAAATGATGGAAGGATCACTATCTCTTAGAGTTGTCACCTTCAACTGTAGATCTTTTAAATCACGTAAAAAGGAAGTGTTTGACCTGTGCGAAAGTAATGACATTGTATTGATACAAGAACATTGGCTGTTTGAGGAGGAGCTAAATCTGCTCAAGTCATTACACAGTGACTTCGACTGTTTTGCTGTATCAGCAATGGATAGTTCCAAAGAATTGTTATGTGGGAGGCCTTATGGAGGTATTGGTACTTTTTTTTTTTATAGAAAAACCTTGTATGAGTATGTTAAACCTCTGCCTTTTAATAATGAATGTAGACTTATTGGGCTGGAGCTAGGTACAGATGACAACAAAACACTCTTGGTGAATGTGTATCTACCATATGAATGCAATGATAATTTTTGTGATTTTGTGGACTACCTAGGGAAATTGCAGTCTATAGTTAATGACTACGAAATTGGTTATGTTATTTTCTGTGGAGACTTTAATTCCGATCCATGTAAACAATTTGGTAAAGATCTTATTAATTTTTCATATGAAAATGGCTTACATATATCTGATATTGAGAGTTTTGGATTAGATTCAGATGTGTTTACTTTCCTTAGTGACGCAAATACCACTACCAGCTGGTTAGACCATGTTGTCTCTACGCAAAATGCTCATAAGTGCATACATGATTTCAATATACTATATGATATTTTAGGCTCAGATCATTCCCTTTATCTTTTACTTACAAGAGTTCTGTGATTTATGACGTAAAAGAAAATTATCTGAAAAAGGGTCTTAATAATCATATTCATACGGTTAGGTGGGACAATGTCTGTAAAGAAGATATCGATAGATACCATGATATCACTGATACACTGTTAAAAAATGTTAACTTCTGTACAGAGGCTGTTTATTGTACTGACAACCTATGTAACTGTGCCTCACATCTTCAAGATATTACTAATCTTTATAATGATATAATTAGTGCTTTACAGACCATTGTTAAAAATGTTAACAATGTTAATTCATCTAAAACTCCTCTGTCCTGCACCATTGATGGTGTTAGTGGAGAGGAAGACATATGTAATTTATGGTTCGATCATTATAGCAAAATTTTTAACTGTGTGAAAAATGATGGGTGTAAACATACTGTAAAAAGTTATATTGATGCAAACATCTCTGATGTCACTGCTACTGTCATATCTGCTGACAAAGTCAAAGAGTGTATTAAGAAACTTTCCTTAGGTAAGTCAGCTGGTTTAGATAACCTTGCTGCTGAATATTTGCGTTACGCTAGTGACAGGGTTCACATTTTGCTTAGTTTTTGTTTTAACTCAATGATCGCCCATGGGTTTGTAGCTTGCAAAAGTTGTACTTGCCGGCCATTGTGAAAACCAAGTCTGGTGATATCACTTCTAGTAATAATTACCGGCCAATTGCACTGGCCACGATTGTCTCTAAGGTTTTTGAAATTATATTAATTGATCTCTCTGGTAATACTCTGCATTCAGGGGACCATCAATTTGCTTTTAAGTCGGGTCATGCAACCGACACATGCATATTTGTACTTAAGCAAACTATTGATTACTATAATAGGCATGGCAGTCCAGTGTTCATATGCTTTTTAGATGCTAGCAAAGCGTTTGATCGTTAACCATTGGGTTTTATTTAACCAACTTATTGAAAGGAAAGTTCCTATTCATGTAATTTGCATTTTGATCTCTTGGTATACTAGACAGAAATTTGTTATTAGATGGGGTAGTACTTACTCTTCTGAAATTTAGCAATGGTGTACGCCAAGGGGGCATAATGTCTCCACTTTTGTACAACATATACAACAATGATTTAAATGATGCGTTAAGTGCATCAAGACATGGATGTGAATTTGGTGGTATAAAATTGAATAACTGTAGTTATGCAGATGATCTTTGTATATTGGCTCCCTCTATTTCAGGGCTGCAGTCATTGGTCAATATCTGTGAAGATTATGCCCAGACTCATGATGTAATTTACAATACAAAGAAGTCGGTGTGTATGAGATTTTCTTCAAATAATAGAAAAATCAAAGATGAATTTATTATTACTTTACTTAATAAGAAGTTAAGCTTTGTACCATCAGTATCTTATCTTGGTCACATACTTTCTAGTGATATGCATGATGATTATGACATCAAGAGGCAATACAGGTCCTTATGTGTTAGGTCCAATATTACTTGTCGTCGATTTAGTAATTGTTCTCTTGATACCAAATGTTGTATTTTTCGTTCTTATTGTACTAATTTATATGGCATTAATTTATGGTGTAACTTCAGAGGTAAAACCATTCAGGACTTACAAGTTTGTTATAACAATTCACTTAGGATGTTGTTACATAAACCCAAGCATTGCAGTGTTAGTGGTATATTTGTCTCTGTTGGTATTCCTTCATTTTATGAATTAATGAGGAAATGTGCATATAGTTTTTGGAGTCGGTTAATCAACTCGGGTAATAGCCTTGTTCGACTCATTATGTTTGATTTATTTAAGTGCTCTTTTTTATATAGAAAATGGAGTGAGCTATTATTTTAGCTAATTTAGGTCTGTTTTTAGACCCTTTTCCATTTTATTTAATATATTATACCTGTAACCACTATGGAATTTTTGTCTGAAATAAAAGAAATGAAATAACATGTAAAGTTATTTCATTTGAAAATTATCAAAAGTGAATTTTGTGGTTATCTATGAGTTGCATATTTTGGTAGTTGAAGTACTGTATGTATGTCATTCCCTACTTTGTTAGTGGAATAATGTTTTTAAAACTTATTTCTACTATCAAAAATTGTTATTCAATGGCTATTGTTTTCCGATAATCTCTTAGTACATTATTTGCATCTGTTGTGTAACCGTATTTGTTATTGATGCAATTCTTGCTTTTTACAGCTAGTATTTAAATATTTGAAGATTAAAAAAAAAATGATTTCTATTACTGAATTTTTGCATTGGGGCCATTTTTACCTACTTGTCAATTGGGGCCAATTTTACTATGGCCATTTTACCGGGGCTATTTTTTCTGGGGCCAATTTTTCCTGGGCCATTTTTTCCGGGGCCATTTTTACCTACATTCGTGGATAAATATTACAGCCTAACCCTAACCATCTTCATTTAAGGCACCGTATTTTTCGACATTAAATGTGGAATACCCTAGCTCTACTACTTGGCTAGTGGTAGGCCCTAGGTATAGTGTCGTCAGTTTCTGTGATTATTTTTTATGGTATTGTCTACATATAGGGATGACGATAGAACCTAATATATTTTTTTGCGATAAAATTAATTACACTTGCCCCGTGATGACGAACACAGATGAACTGGCTTTAAGATAGCAAAAATTTCATTGTAGTTTTCCCGTTTCTATTTCATACCCTCTTCGCAGCTACTGTTTGGTTCCTAAGACGATTTTTTAGTAATCATGCCCTCTTCGCAGCCGCTATTTGGTTCTTAAGACGTCTTCGCAGCCGCTATTTGGTTCCTGGGACGTCTCTTTGGTAACTGAGCATGCTCGACATGGCTCGATAACGTCACTTTTTTAATGCACATTCTCACTGACTGTCTAGCATTTCCAAGCGCATGCTCAATGTGTTTTTGTTTTATAAATAATTCGCGGACATTATTTGATAGCTGCGCATGCGCATTGCTTAGTTCGAAATTCGTATTTCTTCGTAGTAAAAACTACCGTTACCTACAGTTTCTAAATGACTATTTCCTTTTGATCGTTACAGCCTAAAAGCGAGGCGCGAAAATATCAGATAATTTTTTTAGACATCAACATCAGTCTCTGGATGTTCGGGAAAGCTTTAAAAGTTTCTATCCATTACATTACTGGTATTATATTCACTAGGTAATTAAGACAATGACGCTCTACTTCAGTAAAGTTAAGCCTATCAAATATGTTGACGGGAATATCCGACTCATTTGTATATTCATGAGTAAGCTTTAAAAAGTTGTCGAAAAGGTTTTTTAGCATTATAATATTTGAAGCACTCATCAATCGTATTCCGTTTTAGAATTTTTTAGCCGTTTTTGTGTAAATTTAATTCGCTCTTCCAAATGTACCTTTTCTTGTTAATTAGTGTCATACAATTTTTCAACTTTAGATGGTATGGTCATGTCAACATATGTAATGGAACATGTGATTGTTTAAGTAAGTTTTTAGTAATTCCCTGCAGAGTTTTTCACAAAACATCGAAAATCGTACACCTTATTGTATTTTTAAGACATTCATTTCCTCTGTTCAATATTTAAATGGGAAATTTTCGAGGTTTACATCGCTGTAGTAATGGTAGATATTTAGGTCAAAGTTGTACTGAATTGTGATCAAAAGCTCCAAGGTTTGGCATTTTGATTGATAAATATGCATCGTTAGATTAACATTTGACTTACCTACCTAATTTAGTTTACCTACCTTCTGTGTCGGATATTTTTCTGGGCTAAAAATAAACAGACGTGTTGTGTTTTTAATAATTTGAATTGATGGTAAAATTGGTAGGCACATTTTACCAATTAAATAATGCAAGTATCAGTGTTAAATTTAGGTCCTATGTCAGCTTAATCGATATCAATTTATTACAATTTAGGATATCATTTCGGAAATCCAATGGCCATATAGAAATACAAAAAAATAAATAAATAGATAGGCCTAAAAGAATAAATATTATATATATATACATACATGTATATATATATATATTTACTTACGTTTTCTGTTGGTGTTACAGGTGTAGTTTGTATTTTTTCTGATGGAGTTTCTTCTATTATTTCGGCGCCACAATTTTCCACTGTGTGTCTGATAACTGTCTCTGCCATTAACTTTTGATACATTTCAGTTGCACTTCCTATATTATTGAAGATTTTAAAATTCACTAGCTTATATTTACTATAATATTTATGGTCAATCCAATTAAGACATATGATCACAGATTGATAAATGTACAAACAAGTTAATGAATAGCTATTATGAAGGTCACGTATGTTGTTTTGGACCTAAGGAGAGAATAGTGATCATTGTTAAATATTAACTTTCTGTCCAGGGGCGGATCCACAGATGTCCAAAAAAAAAAGGGGTGGGGGGAGCGAAAGTTGGGCCGATCGAGGCAACACTACCCTAGGGGTCCGGGGGCATGCCCTTGCGAAAAGTTTGTGTTCTGGGATTTGTTTTGTGTAAGACAGTATAAATACTATAGCATTTCATATTTCATACACTAACTAATTTACTAAATCGTACACCTCAACTCATAAAGTGGACTCCTATCACGGCCTGATCCATTGTATGGTTATAGACACGATGTCTACCAAGCATACTAGCTATCTCTCCCATCTGGAATGATGATTACAGTAGTTAGGTTTTTAAGTTCACATAACAGTAACTTTAAAATGGTCACCATAATGGCTGTTTGCTGTTAATGATTTTGTAAGATTAATTAAGCATTTCTTACAAATATGTGCAATAAATTCATTTTTCATTTCAATTTTAAAATGTGGTGTAAGGTTAATTATTTGCTCTTTGTAAGCATAAAAATGTGAGCATGCTAATTGATACTGTAACACATGCATCTGGTATACATTTCCAAACAGATATTCTATAGTATTCCTATACAACTTCTAAAGCAAAAGTTATAGATCTATAGAATTTTCTACAGAATTTCTATACAGCTTCTAAAGAGAATGTTATAGATTTCTATAAAATTTCTCCAGAAATATGAATCATAATTATTTGCGGCAAAATGATGCACATATTACAAAACTCTGCATGCATTATTTAGTTATTCAACATCAGACCATGAGCCAAATGCAATAGTTTTTTTTTTATTATCATCATTTATTAATCTTGTTTCATGTTCAACACCAAGCTGCTGCAATAATACATTTATTGAAAATCGAATGTAGGGCTGAGTCACCAATACATAAATTGTGCAAAAAATTAATTTTCTATAGGGTGAAATACAACATTCTATAGAAAATATTAGAATTCTATAGAATGCGTAAACTCTATAAAACATTTCTATAGATTGTGTTTGCCTCTATAGAGTTACATATAATTTTATATAAGGTTCTATAGAATTCTATAGAGCTCTACAGAACTTTTGTTGTATGGGTAGACGCCCGAAAATACCATTTGAGGCGGGCAGCCCCCACCCCTAAATCTGCCCCTGCTGTCACCTACTTTGTTTTTTCTGTGCTATTTAAGTTCACTTGGAGCTTAACAGTGTCTCCATGGTGGGCCAGAAATGTCCATATTAATTGTATTATAGATCATATTATTAACACAAATAATGGTAAATATAGGACAATAAGGTAGAGACAACATCCAAAAAAATCAGCGCTGGTTCAGAACTTTCATTGTCCAAGATTTGGTTGGTAGAACCAGTCTTCTTAGCAAAGAATTAAAACACGAGGTCCAGTCTACACACATCTGCTGCGACGTGTGCCCTTTAATTTAAAGAGCCCATTGCATCTTTCGTGTAGGTGGTTAACCCGATTTTCTTGCTCCATTCAATTCCATGTCGTTTTTTGGACCGTGATGAAGTAACACGAAGTTACTGAGTGCCTATCTACGGCTTCTGCATAACTAATAGTAATTGTTATTGTCGTGATGGAGTAGACAATAACTGGATTTGCGTCAGGAGAATCAAGTATAGGTGTAGTTTTGCCCTACCTGACGTGGAAATGTACTGAATACTCAGTACGCGTAAAAAAATTGGTTTTACACGTACTGAGTATTCAGTACATTCAGTACAAAATTACACCTATACTTCTACATAATTAATTAACAATTTATATTTAGGGACTGGTACTGGTGATACCTCTTCTTTGCTGTTATAAAGCGCAGTTCTTTTCCCTAGTCATTGGGTCCACATGCTAAGTGTTGCTGCTGGTAATCAGCGCAGGAGCAGGCAATCCCACCAGGTACCCATTTATACTCCTGGGTGGAGAAAAGCAATGCAGATATAGTGTCTTGCACAGCGAGGGATTGAAACCCAGACCCCGAGGTTGGGAAAACTAACCGTTCCTGCTGCGCCAAACCGCTTCCGCACGACACGACCGAACCTGGCACAATGACGCTGCACGTTTGGGGCATAATTCTTATGAGATTTTCTTCTACCTCTACCATTATTGGTTATTTTACGAGTGACAATAAATACAATATTATTGATGATAAAATACATAATTATTATATAATATTAATATAAATGATAATATCATTGTAATCATCTATTACACTAATGACATTATTACATTTATGAATAATTATAATTGAGAAGATTAATAAAAAAAATAACATAATGAAACCAACCAGTCAAGAAAAAATGTATTGTAGCTTACTCGTGACACAATACACATTGGTAAGTACAAATTGATCTAGCTTGAATATTTACTTTAACTTCGTTTATAAATAATCAAATAAATAATCAATAAAATATAAAATAAATATTAATAGTAATAATTCAGATAATGATGATATTAACCAACAAAGCGAATAAAACTGAATATTAATAATAATCTTAATAATAACCATATAACAACAACAACAACAGCAGCAGCAGCAGCAGTAGCAGTAGCAGTAGTAGTAGTAGTAGCAGTAGTAGTAGTAGTAGTAGTAATAATTATAACCTTACCACTTTCAGTAAGATTCTCTTCCCATTTACTTGGCTCTTCTGCTCTCTTCGTTACAATCTTGGTTGTTGCTATCGCATTGGTAGTTTTTTCATGAGGGTTAAATCTGAAATAAATATTATTATGTACATACATAGACTACAAAAAAATGGTTATACAAAAATGAGTAACAATATTTTAAATTCATCATTGAATATTCCTATTATAATTAAAACAATATAAACATCGTCACTATCATAATAATCATCATCATCGTCATGATCATCACTACCACCACCAACATGCCATCATCACTATCACCATTCCATTTTTAAAACAATAATAATACTAATAATTATAATAATAATAATAATAATAATAATAATACATAAATAGATAGATAGATAATAATAATGATGATGATGATGATAATAATAATAATAATAATAATAATAATAAAAAAAAATATTTACATGTAATATTCATTTAGCCACCATATTGTTGTTAACTTTTCATCACAACAACAACAATAACAATAACAACAACAATAATAATAATAATAATAATAATAATAATAAAATTGTTATTGATAATAAAATGATAAATATAAATTATTTTTTTTAGCAATAGTAAACCTATTATATTTTTGTTTTTGTACAGAAATATGTTTTGTATGTGCTTACGGCTTTCCAAGGCAGGCGTTGATGAGAGAGGTTTTCCCTACTCTTTCTTGTCCAATTACTTTGATTCTTCCTAGATTTACCTCAACAGTGCCCTCTTCCAACGCTTTATTGTAAACTTTGTCAGCAGCTGGTCCATGAGCAGAAATTATTGCAGGAATAGACCTTCCTGTTAAACTGTGATTTAAAAGAGATCAATAGACCTAATATTAATAATTATGGTGACAAAACAAAAAATAATAATTGATGTGGTTGCGAATTGTAAACATCCTGATAAAATACCAGGTCAAAAACACAATTGAGCTAGTGGTGATGAAACATATTATGTAATAATAAAAAGCGTGGTCTCACCTGTAGGTTTAAAATTAATGTCCGGTAATGACCCACCTTAAAAAGATGAATCAAATGCATGATAAAGCATAACATCATGAAAAGTCTTAAAAACATTAACAAAATTCCCTATTAATAACTGTAAAAATAAATAAAAATCTGCTTGAGCATCTACAATAGCATAACGAATTACATTTGATTCACAAGAAGGGTAAACTATTTTGGATAGATTAATGATTTAAATAAATGTTCAGAGATTGAGGCTAAGTTTCCAGTTGATTCAAGATAACAACATCCAATTAATAAATAACCATTTCTCGCTTATGTCTTCAGTGCCCGAAGGCTTTTGTTCAATAAATATGCCTCCGTTCCTTTTAACATAATAAAACATAAATACAAATTAGGGTTTCTAAATATATATTCCTATAATTTTATGCATAATATACGTACTTTAATATATATTAATAAATAAAAAGATAATATTCACATCTTTAGACGACATTAAATTAAATAACTGAAATATTTAAGTGTTTTTGTTAACATATTGTGGTAGAAGTCTTTTTCTAATATCAATAAAATAGGGAAAAACTAAAACAAAATGATATTCATCTTCTATTTTATCTACGTTACATAACATGCATAATCTGCCCTTTCTTCCAATTTCTACCTTTCTACCCCATCTCTGGTTCCAAAATACCCAATCTCTATTTTGTATCAAGTATTCATCTACTCCAAACGATGCTTGAACATTTTGTAAAATCTTAATTTAGAATATGAATTTATCTTTTCAAAAAATTTATGTCGTTCTATATCTATTAACCTAATTTTAATTTCAGAGATAAACTATACACATCATTCATATTTTGAGATAACCATATTTCACCAAAACCAATAGAACATAACATTAGTTTCTAAATCTATGTAGATACTCATCAACGCCTGTTCAGCATCTGGATGAGGGCAGGGGCTTGAGATGAACCATTACACCGGGTAACCCCCTACTCGTGAGCTATTGTGTACACTGGACCTACGGTTAATAGTCCTTATCCGAGAAGACTTGCTCCACCTCCAGAGCCATAGGCGAGTGTGCCATTCAAACCTGCACCGATATTATGGCTGTAGGTTATAACAGGCCCCTGCATTATCCGCTTGGCCATTCGACAAGCAAGGTTCATCTCTTTTTGATAATTCTATCTTATATTAATCAAACGTGCCCAATATCGAATAACAATAATAATGCAATCTATTGGTACTGAAAACCTTCCACATCCACTCATAACCGCCTCACCGGGTGCCGATTTTCCAATTCCTAAAATATACCCACAAAATTTGATCTGGAAATCATCAAATATGTTTAAGAATATTTAAGGCCCATATTTAGCTTTCACTATAAAATAATTGGGATAGTTTTTACAACAAATAGACGATTTCAAAGAGCAACTGTTAGTTGGCAAAAATTTGTTTGTATCACAACTTTAAGTGAAAAGAGTGCTTTATCCCCTTGTATGCAATTTATTTCTTTCGTTTTTCCCGCTTTCCTGTGGAGTTGGAAGTGACACAAAGATATTTAAATGATTTAACTATTTCAATTTCCTTATCTATATATTTCCACCTTTCATATCTTTTGAGGTTTTACCATTCTTAAATACCACAATTTCACTTTTTTGAACGTTTACTGTTACAATAGTGTGCTAATTTGTTTAGCAAATGTTGAGAAGCATATGCTGTGTCACTAATCAACAGAAGATCCTCTTGCATATAACATATTCTTAACATATATAATACCAATTTAAATTTTATTTCTATTTTCATCAGTGTGTAATAATTCAGTTAAGTCATTTAGAAAAGTACTAAATAAAAACCATGATGAAGTTGATCCTTGCTGAATACCACGTTCACATTTGAACGGTTAGCCAATAGTGTTACTTATTTTAATATGCACCGTTAATTTACTTTAAATTGATAAAATAAAATTTATAATTTCATTTTTATAATTGCTATTTTAATTTAAAAATAAGGTAATCAAGTCTAATAGAATCAAATGCACAGCGTAAATCTGTGGATACATAGTACCACGAGTTTTTTTTTGTTGACAAAACACAAAAAAAAAAAATAAATCAACTCTGTTCTTGGTGCAAAAAATCATTCCTATCTGCCCAATTATTTAGTCTATTATTTAAGATTTAAAAAAATATTTTTCCAATGATTGGCAAAATTGATACTGCACTGTAATTTTCTGGGCATTCCTTTTTTCCTTTCTTTAAGTACTACAATACTAGTCGCCCATTGCTGTGGGAAAGTACCACTGTTAAAAAAAAAACGGTATTAAACATCTTTCAATTGAGTCAATAATACAATTTGGTGCATTTATAATAAATTCTGTTGCAAGCCCATCAATACCTGGTGCTTATCTTTTTTTGTATTTTAATTGCATATAAAACCTGTTCTAAACTAATTTCATCATTTAAATTATCCATATTTATACCATCAATTTTAGTCTGTTAAACTCGGTCATATCAATTGGGTTGTTTTCCTCTTCAACTATTCTAAACAAATTTCAAAAATGATTATACTACATCTAATGTGTGATGATCTCTGTACATTTTTCCGTTTTGTCTTTTAGTTTTTACCAAAATTGTTTGTTGTTATTTGCATTTAGTAATTTGATTAATTCATTTTGTGATTCTTGCTTTGTTTTTGTTCCTTTTCTTTTTAATTAGTGATTTATATTCTCTTTCATTATCTAGATGATCTTCCAATAAAATTGTTTCATATTGTTTTCATAATTTCTACCTTTGTATATTTTTTAAAAATATTTTATATACATAATAGAAAGCTCCATAGATATTTTTTAAAGCTTCATCTATATTATTACTATCAAGATGTTTGTTTACCTTTTCTCTCTAATGTTCCGCTTCTTTACCATTCCACCTGCCTATGACATTATATATATTTAATTTGGCAAAATGAAATGATTTTTGTTGACGACACATTCCTTCATATAATAGGTGTTCAGATTATCTTCTACGTCTATCTATAATTTAAACTCTATAGGCGTACGGCCTGATTCTATGCGCTTATCAACTTCCACATCCATTATACTATTAAACTTTTCGCAAAAGTAAAAATATAGTCCACCACTCTTTTCCCATAACATAAGTTATTAGGCTCTTTGAGTCCATACATGGTTTCATATATCTAGAATGGCAGCCATTTTGAAATTCAAGAAGGCCGCCAAAAAAAAACCAAGAGCGATATCAGCAGTTGTCTGTCAGAAGGTGAGTTTTTTAGCCAAATCTCATGAAAATTTCAAATTGCTCTAACTCATCAGAACATGCTGGCGTGGAGCCAAAAATTTCACTGTGGTGTTATCTCAGGTAGACCTCCCCAACAGGCAAAATATAACCGATTTCAAGGGGGTCGGGCAAAAAAGTGTGTTGGAAACATATGGAAAGACTCCTCTGATGTCCTACAATTTATTCTATTATTTACAATCCTTTACAAAAATACAACAAATTTAAACCATATTATCTATTTAAAATATTATCTTCATTACTTCTAGTAATAACTTAATCATCCTCTTTATAAATGTCATTATTATAATTTTGGGGGCATTCATCTTTCCTTATAAAATAATAATTTT